GGAGAGGATGTCGACGTCGCGTATCCACTTCGGTCGACAGAGCGGTGTATGGATAGGAAACCGACGTCGCGAATCCACTTCGGTCGGTAGAGCGGTATCGGAGAGGATGTCGACGTCGCGTATCCACTTCGGTCGATAGAGCGGTGTATGGATAGGAAACCGATGTCGTGAATCCACTTCGGTCGGTAGAGCGGTATCGGAGAGGATGTCGACGTCGCGTATCCACTTCGGTCGACAGAGCGGTGTATGGATAGGAAACCGACGTCGCGAATCCACTTCGGTCGGTAGAGCGGTATCGGAGAGGATGTCGACGTCGCGTATCCACTTCGGTTGACGGAAGGTCTAGGATCTCTAGGAATTGCGAGTTCTGGTCGGTCGTGCGCCTCAGAGGAGCTTTCCGATCAATCTCTCTCGATATCAATTTTCTGTCGGCTTTTATACTAAATTATAACAAACAGTTCGACTGTTTGTTGACCTTGCGGTTATTCCACGCGCGGTTGTTCGGCGTTTTGTTAGTCATTGTTTCGGCTGTCGTGACGCTCTCCGAATCGTCACAATATTATTTTTTAATATTTAATTAAATTTATCTGGATAACTCACAAATCTTTTTAATGATACTTCATAACTCTTCATAACACTTCGAAATACAAACTACTTCATAACTCTTCGAAATACAAACGATACCATACCGAACCTTTGTTTAATTTACCTCCGATCATTATTTCCGGCTAAATACATGGTCCAAAAAAGAACAATTAATTACAAGTAATAGAATAACTCACAAATCTTTTCAATTGCACTTCAAAACTCTTCATACGAAATACAAACGATTTAAAAGAATAGTTTTCCAACCGGAGCTTTTTTTCCGGTCAAGTACATACAAGTTATTTCACATGAAAAGTGAACAATGAAAATGTGGAAAGCAATATTTATATAATATAGATTATTAAAATTAAAATGTAATTACAGTATACACAATGTAATATATAACATATTAATAAAAATAATACAACTTAAATTTATAGTTATAATATAATATAATAATACAATATGAGTAAATTTAATAAATGAGACGAACGTTAACCGTGAAAGATGAATTCTCAAAACGTGAAATATTTCACGTGAACTTTCGGTTTGCTTGTATATGTTCTTCTTTACATGTAAATTGTGTAATTTTCCATGAAAATTTTTAAGCATCAAGCGATGTGGTTTAAATATGAAAAATAACCCAATGAAAAATTTTTCATATATAATTATATAAAATTATATAAAATTATATATAATTATATATAATTATATATTATTATATATAATTATATATAATTATATATTATTATGTATCAAATTTGTCCATTCATGTTTATATATTCTACTTATGTATATAATTATATATAATTATATATAATTATGTATAATTATATATATAAATTCATATATAATTTTACATAATTACGCATAAATTTATATGTAATTATACATATTGTTATATATAATTGTATATAATTATATATGATTATATATATATATATATATATATATATATATATATGTTGTGTATAATTTTATATGTATATATGTAATTATACATAATTATGTATGGACAAATTTCATACAAAATTTTGCATGAAAAATTTTTTATCGGGAATGTAACTACACTCGCATATTATGTGCAAAATGAGTAGAATTTCTTATAGTGACTTTAATTTTTATGATTATACAACAATTGGCATTTGACATAAGAATTCTACGTCCATTAAAAATGAACAACGAAAGCCGATTGAAGCGTGATGACCCCTTATAGAAATATCATACTAAGAATCATTGATAATTACCCAGATAGCACGATGAATTCTTTAAGTGTTCCTAAAGTTTTCTTCTTTCCTGAATTGTACTTCCTTAGGAATTCGTAGAACAATACTATAAGAATGATTTAGGAAGTTACATGCACCATGATTGGAGTTCCTCAGAACTTCTTAGAGTATTTATATAGAATTACTTCAACTCAAAAAGATTTCTTCGGATTTAATAAATTTTATTGTATCCACACGAAAGAAAGATCAGAAACTTTGGCCGGAGGTGCTGCTGCTCTTATGTGTATCTGTAGATGTCCACTTTTAATGCCATATGAAATGAAAAACATTAAACTCCGTCTGGGATCGAACTCGGGTCTTCCGCTTGCCAGACAACCGCTCTTTCCACTGAGTTATTTAAGACTTCATGTTTGAGACATCTATATATCTAGTGAAAAATGATTCGTTGATTGACGTCAAAATGATATCAAATTGACGTCGATTTGACGATTTCAACGTCTATTTGATGTCATTTTGACGTCAATCAACGAATCATTTTTCGCTGAATACTATACTGTTGAAACTGTTATAACTGTTATACTGTTATACTGTTATATATACTGTTCTAACTGAGCTTCAAATGTAAGTAAAGTGCATTTTCAAATATGTAAT